CTCCCTACCATGCCTCGATGCTCGAGTTCAAATGTGTGTGTTACATCCTCGATGCTTGTTACAGTTCCTTCGCACGTTACAGTGTCCAGAGAATTTATTTCTATGCCCTGCCTCACTTCACTTCTCTCTCTCTTTCTCCGTTTCTTACTCTTTTTTCAGGCCTTCCGGAATCAACCACTCTTACAAGTACAACTTACTTGAGTTGGCTTCTCTCCTATCCACATCCACAACCTCCATTTTAGTCGCTTGGTTCTCGTCCTTCTCGCCTCCCTTCCGTCATCATTCTTCCCCAAGTCCTCTCTCGCCAATCTTTCACCAGTTCCACCCCTCCTTCAGCCTTTCCTCATATTACCCTCTTTTTCCCCTATGCACACACTGTGCCCCCCAAGTCGTGTGCTTCCTTTCCCTTTTCCCATGCATGATCTATCATTTTGCGCCCACCCCGACCACTCCTACCCTCTCCTACCCTACCTCTACTCTACCCCACCGTCCCCTCCCCTCTCCGACTGCCCCACCAGGCCAGCAAATTGGGCTGCAGATGAGTGAGGCATCGCTGGCACCAGTGGGGGCGAACCTGTTCTTCGCTACGCCAGTGTGGGCATGACGCAGTGCAGCCCGCAGGCGGGAGGAGGGGAGGGGGAGGCGGATGGCGAGGAGAGGAGGAGGTGTGGGTGTGAGGCAGGCGTTCTCCTGGGCCGACCCGGGGCTGCCATGGCCCGTCCACAACCAGGGCGCTGCGGGTGAGAGCATGGGGGCGGGGTGTGGAGAGAGGGCAGGGGAAGGAAGGACGAGGGGGGGAGGAAAAAGGAAGGAGGTTAGGTAAGGCTGTGGGGAGGGTAGTTGTGTGGAGGGTAGGGGAGTGGGGGAGGGGAAGGGAGGGGAGGTGATGGAGGGGAGGGGAGGGGAAGGGAGGGGACGTGAGGGGAGGGGAGGGGAGGGGAGGGGAGGGGAGGGGAGGTTGAGGGGAGGGGAGGTGGTTGGTGGATGGGAGGGGAGGGAGGAGAGGGAGGGGAGGGGAGGTGAGGGAGAAGGGAGGGGAGGGGAGTGAAGGGGAGGGAAGTGGAGGGGAGGGAGGGGAAAGGGATGGAAGGGGAGGGGTGGGAGGGGATGGGAGGGGATGGGAGGGGATGGGAGGGAATGGGTGGGGAGTGAGGGGATGGGAGGGTTATCGGAGGGTTCTCTCTCGCGTTGTCACAATAAAGAAGAAGAAACCTATGAGCTGAATAATTTGACGAGGGCAGGTGTGTCCATCGTTCCCCTCGTCCTCGTGCCGCCTCCCACTTTCACATCCAGCTAACTGCTGGGCACGCTTAGAAACCCACTCTAACTTCCCATCACTTCATCCTCACCCGGATTCTCCCCCACTCCTCTCTCTAAGGTGACTGCTGGGCGTACGCGGGGGTGGTGGGCAGCGTGGGAAATGGCCTACAGCATTCTCTTCAACCTCTCCGCCGTGCCGCTCCTCTCCGTCTCCAAGCTGCGCAATGCCCTTGGCGCCTCATGCGCGCAGGGCAACTCGCCCTCGCGGGCCTTCCAGTACCTCGTCACTCTCAATGCCAAGAGCAAAGCAGGGCTTGCGGAGGCTGGAGCGGTGCGGTGGATGAGGAGGGAGTGGGGCAAGAAGAGAGGGCAGCCAGAGCCCGCTCTGTGGCATGCCCGTCTTTGCTCTGCTCGTGCAAGTGCTTGGGACCCCTGCGGCAAAGCCGCGGGCCCCCGGAACGGTATGCTGCTTTTCTTACCTTGATGATTCCCTTTGTTTGCCGTTAGGCGGTTGATGTGGGTTTTGTATCGCAGAGGCCACACCCCGGTCTGCCATTATTCCTTTCGCCTGTATGCAAGGCAGTCGGATTCCCCTGGTTGGGAAATCTACAGGTATGGCCACAACAAGAACATGTTGTTGTAAGGGCCTAATAAACTCAAGCTATTAGGACTTAATCAAACTTAAAAACTTCTCCTCGGGGTCACCTCCAAGGGTCCCTGGGTGCCTGGTACAAGACCAGCCCCTATCCTCGGGTCCGAGTTTGTAGAGAGAGGGATCAAGAAGGACTTAGTCAAAACAGCAAGAGTACCTTGAACGTAGCGCAGCGTGCCGTGCAGACCGTCGATCGGATTAAGCTGAGAATTCGCTATATCGAAGCTCGCTCCAAGAGCTTTAAAATGAGCCAAGTTGCCTCGCGAAAAGTTCTGCCATTACGAAGTTATGGCTCAGACGGTGTTTGCCTAGCATTAGAGTGCTTAGCGTGACTCGGGTAGGTCGGGTAGCATTCCGCCAACGAACGCGTAAGAAACGAAATTCCAGCGAGGGGAAGGAATTCACATGAAATTTGACTATATTCAGGGTAAACAGAGAAGGATTAAAAGTAGTTCTAGCTAGCAAGGACCTTGGGAATCAACCTGGGAACAACCAGGGATGATCCCAAAAAATTCCAAGCAACAGAACCAACCTGGCTGGACAAAAATAGCAGGTGGTTAGGTGGTGGTAAACAAACCTCTGGTTCTGTTTTCCAACCTGGGAAAACAACAACCAGGTTCAGGTTCTAAAAACAGAACCTGTTTTGTCTTTGCCCAAACAGCCAAATGCTGGTTCCGCTGGTTTCCCCTGGCCTTGTAGCATGCAGATACAGACAAACAACATCCAACCTTCACCTAAAATGTACCCCTATAGTGCCTCCCTGCTACACTATAGTTAACCAAACAAAACAGTACAATTTCGAGTTGGATAGAACTGAATCTGCGCAATCAACTCAACCGAACTGCAAAGCTTCCATCTTGGGTTCCTTTGCGAGCTCGTCCTTTTTGCTTGCACTGTTCATAGCGCGTACAATGTTGTGCCGAAGCGCACATTGCGCGAGTACCTGCAAATGCATCAAGCGAAAATTGCGAAAACAAACAAACACACGAACACACCATTCACACGCAAATGCATTCGCACACGCATACTCGTACAAACAGACGGCAGGATGTCGTGCAATGTGCATTTGCACCCAACAACACTCCCCCTCAGCCTGCCGGCTGCATCCCCGTCATTCCATGCTAGTTCATGCTCATTCCACTCATGCGCACACAACGCCAATGAGGCTCATCCGCAAGCCGCTTGGTTGAGAAAGTCTGCTGGCTGTGTGGTGTGAGTCTTGATGTAGATCGGATGCACCGTCCCCCTCTTCACCTCCTTACGCAGCCAGTGCCACTTGATACGCATGTGCTTGTTTCAGGCCGTGAAGCACAGCGTTTTTGGCCATCCCAAGAGCCCCCTTGCTATCACAAAACAGCGGCGTAGCAACTTTCTGCTCCTGGCCAATCTCCTCTAACAGCCTCCTCAGCCAAATCACCTCCTTCACCCCATGGAACATCGCCATGTACTCTGATTCTACGGAAGAGAGTGCCGTCTCCGTCTGCTTCTTGGACCTCCAACTAACAGGTCCTCCCCCAACTACGCAGATGTATCCTCCACAGATGGGAATCCTCCTTCTCAGAAGCCCACGTAGCATCGGTAAAGCAAGTGAGAAATAGCTTGCCTTCTCCAAGCCTCTCCCCCTTCTCTTTCAGCACCTCCACCCCTTTCTGCTTCACCTGTGCAGATGCGGAGTATTGAACTCCAATGCTTGGGTGAGAGTTCAGGTACTTCACCACACGCTCAGCTGCATCCACCTGCTCCTCTGATGGATTCTGTACCACCCTAGCCAGCTGCCCAACCGAGAAAGAGATGTCGGGCCTCGTGTGAACTGCTGCGTACAAGAGGCTGCCCACCAAGGACTGGAATTGCTGCTGCTCTTCAGCTTCAACCCCTTCATCCTCTGCAGCCTTCACAAGCTTGAATTCTGCTGGCAGGGAAGTTGCAACCTTGCGCTCATTCTCAATCCCATACTTCTCCCCCAGCTCCTTGATGAACTTCTCCTGGTGCAGCTTCAACCACCTGTGATCTGGATCCCTCTCCACGTGCATCCCGAGGTAGTACTTTACCTCCCCAAGGTTCTTGCACTTGAAGTTTTCCATTAGTTGCTGCTGCACTTCTGGGATCTCCTTCATGCTGCTGCTGAAGAGAAGAATGTCGTCCACATAGACCAGAAACAGCACCAGCTTCTCCCCCTCGCCCTTGAGAAAGAGGCTCTCATCACAGCTGCTGGTCCTGAATCCCATCTCCTCTAAAACAGCTGCCAACTTCTGGTACCAGCAGCGTGGCGCCTGCTTCAAGCCGTAGATGGACTTGTTGAGCTTGCACACCCTGCCCGTACCATCCTCATACCCAGGCGGCTGCGTCATGTACACATCCTCCTCTAAAATCCCATTCAGGAATGCTGTTGAAATATCCATCTGAATGATGAATTTCCCACTAACAGCTGCATCTGCCAACAAGACACGGAGGGTAGGGGGTTTGGCAGTGGAAGCAAAGATCTCGTTGAAGTCCTGCTTCTCCTTCTGCATAAACCCCTTCGCCACCAGCCTACTCTTGTAGATGGTGACCTGCCCCTTGTCATCGGTCTTGATCCTCAGCACCCACTTGCATTGTATCGCTTTCTTCCCATCAGGCAGCACCACCAGATCCCATGTCCTATTCTCCAGCAGACTCTGGTACTCAGCATCCCTAGAAGCCAGCCACTTGTCCCTATCTGGTCCAGCTAATGCCTCCTCCATGCTAGCTGGTTCCTCTGGTGCAGGGGCAAGAAAACAGTACGCAGGCTCATCCTCCTCATCCGGGTCATAGCCATGAGGTAGAATCAGCAATGCCTCTTCGGTCCCTAGCTGCTGCTCTGCTGCATCAGTTCCTGCAGTCAGCTTCTTAGTAGCCATACGGGTACGTCCTGGCCTGGAGACGGGTGTCTCCCATCCCTTCATAACGACACCCTTCGGCTTCTTAGTTTTTCCCTGCTGCTTCTCTCCTCCCCGGGTTCCAGCAGCTCCACTAGTGCTGCCGCCAGTTTCCACACCATTTTCTCCACCAGCAGATGCCTCCTGTACCTTCTCTCCATCACCATTTCCAGCAGCTGCCTCCTCTCCCTCCTCCCACACACTAGGAGTCAGGTCTAGCTGCATGGTGATCTGCTCCATCTGCTGGGACACCCTTGCCTCCGGCTGTTTCTCCCAGCTCCCATACATCATGGCCTCAATGAATTTCACATCCCTGCTGTCAAAAAACACACCCTTGGATGGTTCCCACAGCAGCCATCCCTTGCTCTCAGCAGCCAGCCCCAAATGCACACACCAGATTGCACTCGCCCCCAACTTACTGCGGTAGGTCTTGGGGACGTGGGCGACTGACCTGCAAACCGAAACACCTCAGCATGTCCACGGCGGCTTCCTCCCAAGCCACCTCTCCAACGGCACCCACGAGTCATCCCCAACCTTGGTAAGCACCCTGTTCCTAGCGACGGTGGCGTGCCGGACAGCATGAGGCCACATAGAATTGCTCAGCCCAGATTCTAGAGCCGCGCCCTAGCTGTCTCCAGAATGGTCCGGTTTGCCCGTTCTGCTACACCATTGGACTGTGGGGTATAAGCCGTGGTCAGCTCTCTCTGGATGCCCTGCTTCTTGAGCCAGGCCTGTTGGTGTAAGGGCCTAAAAAACTCAAGCTATTAGGACTTAATCAAACTTAAAACCTCTCCTCGGGGTCACCTCTAAGGGTCCCTGGGTGCCTGGTACAAGACCAGCCCCTATCCTCGGGTCCGAGTTGGTAGAGAGAGGGATCAAGAAGGACTTAGTCAAAACAGCAAAGGTACCTTGAACGTCGCGCAGCGTGCCGTGCAGACCGTCGGTCGGATTAAGCTGAGAATTCGCTATATCGAAGCTCGCTCCAAGAGCTTTAAAATGAGCCAAGTTGCCTCGCGAAAAGTTCTGCCATTACTAAGTTATGGCTCGGAGAGCGTTTGCCTAGCGTTGGAGTGCTAGCATACTAGCGTTGACTCGGGTAGCATTTTGTGTTAGCATATCCGCCGTCGAATACGCAGAAAGAAACGAAATTCCAGGGAGGAAGGAAATTCGCTTGAATCAATATGACTATATTCAGGTACATACAGAAACAGCGAAAGATTAAATAGTTCTAGCTAGCAAGGACCTTGGGAATCAACCTGGGAACAACCAGGGATGATCCCAAATAATTCCAAGCAACAGAACCAACCTGGCTGGACAAAATAGAAGGTGGTAGGTTGGGTAAACAACCTTTGGTTCTGTTTTTCCAACCTGGGAAAACAACAACCAGGTTCAGGTTCCAAAAACAGAACCTGTTTTGTCTTTGCCCAACCAGCCAAATGCTGGTTCCGCTGGTTTCCCCTGGCCTTGTAGCATGCAGATACAGACAAACAACATCCAACCTTCACCTAAATTGTACCCCTATAGTGCCTCCCCTGCTACACTATAGTTAACCAAACAAAACAGTAAATTTCGAGTTGGATAGAACTGAATCTGCGCAATCAACTCAACCGAACTGCAAAGCTTCCATCTTGGGTTCCTTTGCGAGCTCCTCTTTTGCTTGCACTGTTCATAGCGCATACAATGTTGTGCCGAAGCGCACATTGCGCGATAGTACCAAACCTGCAAATGCATCAAGCGAAAAAATGCGAAAAGCAAAACAACACACGAAACCACCTTCACACACAAATGCATTCGCACACGCATACTCGTACAAACGGACGGCAGGATGTCGTGCAATGTGCATTTGCA